CCTGAGGGTTTATATGACCTCTGCTGTTGCGAACCAAAAAAAAAAAAAAAAAAAAAAAAAAAAATAGCGTCATTGGTTCAAGAGAAATTCAGCCGGGCCATCTAAAAAGGACAGGGTGGACCATGCGACCCAAAAGGTTTTCTCGAAAATGATTGGCAATAGGAAAAAATTTAAAATTTAAATGGTAACCCCCATTTTCCTTATCTTCCACCTGACCTGTTTCCTGTCAACAACAACAACTATTCATTAAATTCAATAATTTCGTGGTCCGCTTGACCAATTAATATATTACAATTAATTAAATTTTTTGGTTGAGATAAAAAAGTGAATGGCACGAGCGGGATTCGAACCCACGATCTTCGGCTAGATACGCCGCTACTCTACCACTTGAGCTATCGTGACATCGGCCATTTTTCAAATGGCAAAAAGGTGGGAAAATTCAAAAGGTGGGGTTTAGATGGGAAGTTAGTGTCAGAGTGGATCGAGGTCACGATAGCTCAGGTGGTAGAGCAGCGGCGTATCTAGCCGAAGATCGTGGGTTCGAATCCCGCTCGTGCCATTGATTTTTTTATCTCAACCAATACCTTAATTAATTGTAACAACAATTATCCTGTTAAGGCTGATGTCCTTCATCCCATCCTTTTTTCCACGTACACCGCTCATCAACTTACCATAATCCACACTTTCGCTGATTCTTTACTGTATTTCAACAAAGATCCCGTCCTCACATCGCTCACTACAGGGTCATCCATCCTTGACAGAAAAAGTGGCGGATAAAAACAAATGTTGATAAATAAGTGGAATAATGTCACCAGTATGCCTACATCATATGTCTCTTTCTATAGCTAACCACGTTTTTTACCTTTAGCTGTACATAGACAGAAAGTAGGTAGAGCTAGATAGATAGCCATAAAGTACACAGTTTACGTTTTAGGGCTTCATAGTATAGCTTTTTTTGGAAAGTGTAACAAATAAACCATGGAAGGGTCAAACCAACAAAAAACCGTACATTTTTACAAAAACAGTAAGTCGATATTTACTAATTGCCCACATTTTGCATAATTATGGTTGACTGAAAGCAACAGACTGAAGATTTTGATCAAAATATAATTTACGTCGAAACACTACGATGAATAAATTAGTCGTTTGCAATTACCAAAATGTACCTTTGTAGCGATTCAGAGGTTGAAACGGGGCTAAGTTTTGAAAGCATCAAATCAATCGTTCTAGCCCCCTTTTTCGGAAATAAATCATTAGCTTATTGCAAAGAGCCGGAGATGAAAGATACATCACGGTCTCTACTTCGAAACAAGTTGCTTTTACATGATTTAAATATAAATTATTAATTATTTGCTAAAGATAAGTTTTTAGACTGAGAGAAAACCACCAGGATTGAATTTAAGTTAATTAAGGTTTTTAGTTGAGATAAAAAAAGTTAGTGTCACGAGCGGGATTCTAACCCACGATCTTCGGCTAGATACGCCGCTGCTCTACCACCTGAGCTATCGTGACCTCGATCCACTCTGACACTAACTTCCCATCTCAACCCCACCTTTTGAATTTTCCCTACTTTTTTTATCTCAACTAAAAACCTTAATTAATTGAAAAACATTAATTGGCCAAGCGGACCACGAAAACAAGTGAATTTAATAAGTTAAAATAAAGTGTACCATCACTAAAGCTCTCAAAAACCACCAAGATTGAATTTAAATTAATTAAGGTTTTTAGTTGAGATAAAAAAGTCAGTGTCAAGAGCAGGATTTTTTTTTTGCCTTATGATCTTTGCATATTAGCCATGACGAATTCTTACATATGCTGTTCAAATTGGGGGTTATCGGGAAATAAGAGCCAGAGGCGACGGTGGGATTCGAACCCACGACCTTCGGCTAGATACGCCGCTGCTCTACCACTTGAGTTATCGTGACCTCGATCCACTCAGACACTAGCTTCCCATCTCAACCCCACCAATTGAATTTTCCCTCCTTTTTGCCATTTTTTATCTCAACTATAAACTTTAATTGAAAGAAAATAATTGGTCAAGCGGACCACGAAAACTAGTGGATTGAATTCAAATATATAACAATTTAATATAAAATAACAATAGACCGCACATAAAAACAGTAAAAATTAAAACATTAAGGTAAAACATAATTTTTCAAATAATAAATATTTAGAAGCTTCAAGACCAGTTTCTGTGCAAACCAAAAAAAAAAATTAACCTAACTTATTTGAAAAGTACGATTCGGTCCATCTTTCAGTCTGAAAATCGAAAACTAGGTTACACCGAAAGAAAAATCCTCTTTAGATCAGACAGCAAATTGGGCAAGTGTTGCAAAATCTCCATGGTGTGGTTGTCAAGACACAAAGAAATTTCGGATAATGAAAAATGATGAAATAGCCAAAGTTGTGGGATGAAAGTTTCAGAAGAGAAATTATATTTATCCGCTATCTTAGGACTTCGTGTAATATTTCATAATCGATCAAATCGAAATTTTATGAAAACAGTAACTCAGCTTTCTTTTAAACAAACAATAAATAATATAATATATGGAAGTTTATAAAAATATTTTTTTAAACTCTTTTTGGCCAAGTTTCAACTATATCGGGGTTTTCCAAACTGTGGTCTGCGTACTTACTGACGTAAACTTGGTAATAAACTTAGAAGAAAAAAACAAAATTTAAAAAACTAATAACTTTGAGTGCTGAAAACGAAAGTTTTTATTTTCTTGCGGGAGTCATTGTGTTCTCCACAGAATTTGGCTGTGAAACTGATGCCAGTCTCTTTTAAGAAAGTTTCGGATGAATTCTTTAAAATTATTAATTTATCGCACAAATGTTTGATAGACAATACTTCAGACTCCATTTGAAATTTACTTTCGAGTCTCATACTTACTCTCATTTTCTTTGACAAAATTCAACTTACAGTTTTGTATTCTGACTATTTTCCTGAAATAACAGTAAAAACAGCGCTAAACTCGAAACGTATCCTTGTAAAACCCCAGGTTAAGTATCGCTTCATGAAATCGTAAGATTGCAAACGTTGTAAATACGATTTGAACTTACGAATTAAGTTAATGAATTAATTCACTAGTTTTCGTGGTACGCTTGACCAATCAATAACTTTCAATTAATTAAGGTTTTTAGTTGAGATAAAAAAACCAATGTCACGAGAGGGATTCGAAACCACCACCTTCGGCTAAATGCGCTGCTCTACCACTTGAACTGTCGTGACTTCGATCCACCTGAACACTAACTTCCCATCTCAACCCCACCTTTGAATTTGAAAAGTAGCAAACCGGGGGAAAAATTCAAAGGTGGGGTTGAGGTAGGAAGTTAGTGTTCAGGTGGATCAAAGTCACGATAGCTCAAGTGGTTAGAGCGGCGTATTGAGCCGAAGGTCATGGGTTCGAATCCCGCTTGTGACACTGAATTTTTTATCCTTAATTAAACTTTAATTTACTATATATATGTTTCTATTTTTAAATACTTGAATGCGAGAGGTCCGACTGGCTTTGTTCTTTGAAAGGGATCCGCCGGCTAAAAAATTTGGGAATTCCTGAACTATATAAATGTGAAAAAAAAGAACTATATGTTAAATTTACTTTGAAGGTGAAATATTTTTAAAAAGTATAATTGTTATTTAATATCATTTCTGCATTTCCACAGAGTGCTTTTCCCTCAAATGTTATTATGTAAAACGGGTAATTATTTTTTAAGGAGTGCCTTATCCTTTAACGAAATAATTAAGGGTTATTCAATTTCAAAAGCACAGCTACTTTATAGGTCTATATAATTGGTTTAACTTTGAAAGCCTAACTCTACAGGCCTTCTTCCTTTAGAGAAGAATAATGAACTTTAAAAAAAAAAAACTATGAATCTACAAATCCATTGAACCCGTTAGGAACCCCATCCTCTTCATCCCAGGGGTGGCAATTAACGCACACAAAGCACAACGGAAGCAAACAATGCTTGTCATAATTGTTTGGATACGAAAAGCAAATAAGAACAGTATCGATTGGTGACAATTAATTTAGTAGCTGTGGGTTTGTTTGTTGTGCAAATAGGGGGAGTTGGAAAAGACACCTGATCAGTCACAACAGCCTCCTTCTGACAAAACCTCTTCCAGCCTACTTAGACCTTTCTTCTCCTAAGCCAAATATTGTGGGGTTGACAAGAGAAACGACCCCTTTTTTCATTCACTCGATGCCCCTTGTCTTTACAATAAAAAATCTATTTAAATCTGGTGTAAAACAGCCAAGTACAACTGAATGAGCGCCATGAAAGGCATGCTTGATTAACTCTACGTATTTCTGTATTTATATTTCTCTACTTCAACTTCTAATTCTCACTAGCACTTTCACTGCTTTTGCAAAGTTCTACGTGTCTTTTCTTATCTTTACATCTTTATTTTTACTTACTCTACTACTCTCATAATCTTCTCCCTCTCTTTGTTCTCTAATCTTCTCTCTCTCTCTCTCTCTCTCTCTCTCTCTCTCTCTCTCTCTCTCTNTTCTATAGGCTGTTCTTATGTTTTTTTGTTACTTTCTTTTTTTTCTTCAGTCTCTCTCCCTCTTTCTTTCTCTCCTTCTCTACTATGCTCTTAGGTCTTTTTTCTTACTTTATTATTTTCTTCCGTCAGTCTATCTATCAGTCTCTCTTTCTCTCTCCCTTTCTCTTTATTCCTGGCTCTCTATCTTTTTTATTTTTCTTTACCATGCTGTTATGGATATTTTCTTACTTTCCTCCATTTTTCCGTCAGTTTCTCTCTCTCTCTCTCTCTCTCTCTCTCTCTCTCTTCTTCTTCTTCTTCTCTCTCTCTCTCTCTCTCTCTCTATCTATCTATCTTTCTATGTATGTATCAATAGTTCTATTGTATCAATAGTTATTGATATTCCGCCATTACCTCTATTCATAAATTAAATTTTAGTTGAATAGATTTATGTAGTTTTATAAGTTATATTTAGCTCGGCCAATAATGTAAATTTTTCTTTTGCCCACAGCTTCCGAAGCTGCCAGTTCCCGACCTAGAGCAGACAATGGGCAAATACCTTGACAACTTAAAGCCCATCCTTAACGAGAAACATTTCGAGAAGGTCAGACTGATGGTGCAAGAATACGCAGACCCCGACGGCCCCGGTCACAAGGTGCAGCACGAACTACTCAAACGCCGGGAAAACACGGACAACTGGGTGGGTAAAGTCTTTCCGTCAACTTTGACATTTTCACTGATACTATTAATTTCACCAAGACTCTCGTGTACAATTGCAACTTTTGCACAAGCACGTAATATATGAGTTTAATTTAATATTTTTTGAAATAGCTCCAGTTTCAATAGAACGCCTCGGTGAAGGTACTAAAGAATTCTTTTGAGTCATATCAAGTTACAACACTTCTTGAAGTGCACTTTGAAATTTGGCGAGTTAAACGAGAAGAAATTCTACATGAGGCGGCCTCTCAAAGGGCACTTGGGAAAAAGTAAAAAGGATAGGGAAAACACGTAAAGTGTCTAATTCGAAGTCCTGATAAGCCCCTTGTAGATCGATCATATAACAAACCCCTCTGCCCTTTATCCACGACCTTTTTACCTTCCCCGATTGAAACCCTTCCCAGGGTGGGTTTTTTAAAAGCTTTTTTTTTAACAAAGGGCTCATCGTGCCAACTTTTCCAAGCGAACATTTCAAATAAGACGGGCCGAGGAGATTCGATCCTGTTAATCATCGGTGGAACTCCTATGCCGTATCCGGAAACTGGAACCCCAGTGCAATGTGAAAGGCAGATATAACCACTTCACCTGGAGTGCCATTGTCGCAAACTAATTCATCCTTGGTACAAAGCCGGCGCAATAACTTTTCATTACGACTTCCCCTAATCGGCAAAGAAAAAATATGAATATGAATCGCTCCCTCTTCCCCATGAATACATAATTCCACATCAAAGCCGTTACGTGCTCAGTTCCTCTATTTATAATTCATTCAGGACCAGACCTCGCAAACAAAGTTAATACTTGCAATATTTTTTCTCACGTACTTAATTTTTTTATTAAAAAAATACAATTAATGCATAAAATTAGAAATGTGTGGTGATTAGTGACCGTTAATCGATATTTATTTAGAAATCGTGAAATGCCGTCTGGTGTGATGTAGGTTTCAGAAAAACATTTTCTTTATCCTGCCAACGTTTCGATCTTTATTGAGATCATCTTCAGGGCTCAAAGTGTTTGTCTTCTGTGTAATTGTGCCATTCTTGCGTGTCGTGTCGAGAGTGCCCCAATTACACAGAAGACAAACACTTTGAGCCCTGAAGATGATCTCAATAAAGGTCGAAACGTTGGCACGATAAAGAAAATGTTTTTCTGAAACCTACATCACACCAGACCGCATCTCACGATTTCTAAATAAACATAAAATTAGAGTTCAAATTATAAATCACGAATCTCTTTTTTTTACAAATTTCACGTAAACCAGCTTTAAAAATCTTTATTTAAATAATCTTGAGAAAAAAAAACACAAAACATTTTATCTTCTTTTATATAATCAATAAAAACAAATAACAATACAAAAACTTCTAGTTGTGTATCCTGCCTGTTTTTCTGAAATAACATTAAAAACAGCGCTAGACTCGAAACGTATCCTTGTAAAACCCCAGCTTAAACATCGCCTCATGAAATAGTAAGATTGCATAAATTGTAAATACGATTTGAACTTAAGACAAATTAAGTTAATAAATTAAACTTTTTTGTCTGATTTGTCTTTATCGTCCAATTAAATTTATTATTAAGTGATAAAATTTCTGATGTAATTCTCGTTGTTTTTCTATGTTTTTAAAATATTATACAGACAGTTTTGGATTCAATACTGCGCTTTGTAGAACTGCAAACCCGCTTTTTACCCTGACGATTTATTAATGTTGATCATGATAATCAAATTGAAAAAGTATATATTCGATTTGAAGTAAAGAAGTACTAACTTCAAATATTAAGTCCTTATGTCTAGAAAAAACTAGGGACTTTTCAATATTTTCCAGTTATGTTCTATCTAAAGTGTTAAGTATTTAGCGTGTTGTTCAACTTTTTGATTAATATTTTCTAAATATTTTATAAACAATGTTCGGCTCAAAACTGACCCTTGTGGAACCCCAGGTTCATCTTTTTTTAGGGGGATTCAATACGATTTAAGTTAATTATAATATTGTATAATTATGAATACGATTAGACTTAAGAAGAATTAAGTTAATGAATTAAGTTCATATATTAAGTATTTTTGACTAGAATAAAGCGATTGTCTTTTATATTTTTTCCGGTTAAGATCGATGTAAAGTGTGAAGTATGTTCGCAGTACTTGACGTCTATTCTCTCTTTACTGTATATTTGATAAAAAGTGTTAGACTCAAAACTGAACCTAGAGGAAATCCAGCTTTATCTGTTTTAAATGAGAATAGAATACAATTCAACTTAATTATAATTGTAAAATTATAAATACGAATTGTCTGAAGAAGAAATAAGTCAATGATTTAAGTTCAAATTTTAATCTTTGGGACAAAAAGAATTGACTTTTCTATATTATAGAGTCAAGTTCAATATAAAGTGGCAAGTATATTGGCGGTACTTAACGTCTAACTGTAGTCCGTATCTCATAAACAATGTTAGACTCAAAACTGATCCGTGCGGAACGCCATCGTCATCTTTATTGCATGAGAGATTCAATACGATTTAAATTAAGGTACAAATGAAAGGCTAGCATTTTATGATAATGGATTTAGTTTTCATATAAAAGCATAGAGTCAGTAACCAATTGAGCCGGTGATGACCTCAAATATATATATATATATATATATATATATATATATAAGTATAGCCCGTATATTCTACATTCAAAAAGGGACCAAAAATTCCGAAGTAACTATGGTCCAAGAATTCACGACCTTGCTCAAATAAACAACGATAATTCCTAAATTAAAAGGTTTTGGACAAATTCGTCGACACCATTAAAAACTACGTTAAATTTCCAATAAAATGTGATCAATAATAAACTTGTAAATATTCGTGAAATAAGTGTTTTCGTAGCGAGGACTTGTAAAAAAGTTTTCAAAGTTGAAAACTTACTCTGGTGATTATAAACTACTATTTCCAAACCTAGAGACCAGCAAATTTCAGAAAACGTACTTCATTTAATATCCTATTCAGTGGTGCAATTGATGAAGGAAAAGCAAAAACCGTAGTTGAAGGATTGGAAGGTGGAAAATTAAAAAGAAAAAACTTTGAAATATTTCACTACTGTATACAAGTTTAGGATTGATCACATTTTATTGGAAATTTAACGTAGTTTTTAATGGTGTCAACGAATTTGTCCAAAACCTTTCTGTTTTGGAGTTTTCATTGTTTATTTGAAGCAAGGTCTTGAAATCTTAAAAAATCAGAAAAAGTGAAATAACTCCGAACCTGTTGGGATTCGGAACATAGTTAATTAGTACTTTTTGGTTCCTTTTTGTATGTAGAATCTACTGGCAAACTATGTAATACGAGTAGCCGAACACCCTGTATATACATATTCCAATTTGCTGTCTAATTTTAAACTTTATGGTGTAATTCGTCCCTGATGTTCCTAAGTCGCTTATTTGTGCTCCCACCCTGTATCTTTTTAAAACATAGGGTAAAAAGTGTTAGACTCAAAACTGATCCTAGTAGAATCGCATAATAACATTCCTTTTAACTTTAGTATAACTAAAAGTAAAGGTCAATTTTTAAACGCAAAACATTTTTTGTGCCATAGCAGAATCGGTTTCCGTCTTCGAATTTCGCGCAAAAATAAGTCACCTTGGTGTTTTTAAATGTTACTTGGTTGCGGGAATTTTGAAATGGTTTAAGGCTCAGGGGCTGATCAGCGATCCGTACCCGCCCTCCTCATATGAAATTTGCCCAACGCTCCGTGATGTATCGATCCGCCACTACCAATTACCCTAGAAATTTCTAATAACCCGAGAGAACCACGAAATAGTCCCCCAGTGGATGAGACCACTTGATATTTCACGACTCGGCCAAACTAAATAGTCCTTGAAATTAAGTTTAACAACGAAATATCAAAACTTAAAATATTTTATATAGTTTTAAAGATATATGAATAAAACCACATCAAACTTACAATTAAAAGCAACCCGGCATAAAAACCGTGCTACAGACGCATAAAGACAAATTCATCGCCAGATACTAAAGTTTATAATTTAATTAAATTCGTCCTATTTTCTTACAAAAATTTAAAGTATTAAAAAAAGTATAATTGTATTAACAGTAACAACCTATACAATTTTTTCAAATAATTAACGATTTTAGTTGAGATTAAAAAAGTCAATGTCACGAGCGGGATTCGAACCTACGACCTTCGGCTAGATACGCCGTTACTCTACCACTTGAGCTGTCGTGACTTCGATCCACACGGACACTAACTTCTCATCTCAACACCACCTATGAATTTGAAAAATGGCAAAAAGGTGGGGTTGAGATGGGAAGTTAGTGTCAGAGTGGATCGAAGTTCAAGTGGTAGAGCAGCAGCGTACTTAGCCGAAGGTCGTGGGTTCGAATCATGCTTGTGACACTGACTTTTATCTCAACCAAAATCTTAATTAAAGCTTAATTAACTGAAAAGAATTTATTTCGTCAAGTGGACCTCTTGTCACTACAGGCCTATTTTTTTAACCTGACGAATTATTTATAAATTTGATTATAAAATTGAAAAATAATATATTCTATTTAAATCCATTTCTTTGATATCTTTAAAATATAATACAAATACAAAATAATAATATAAACAATAATATATAATAATACATAATAATATATAACAAATAATATAAATACAAACAGTGTTTGGCATAACACTGATCCTTGTATAACTACAGATCTATCTTTTTAACCTGCCGAATTATTAATTAATTTGATTATAAAACTAGAAAATAATATATTATATTTAAATCCATTATATTTTGTGGTCCGATTAACCAAATAACTTCTTTCAATTAATTAATCTTTATGTAAGGTATTGGTTGAAATGAAAAAGTTAGTGACAAGAGCGGGATTCGTAGGTCGTGGGTTCGAATCCCACTCGTGACACGAACTTTTTCATTTCAACCAATACCTTACACAAAGATTAATTCATTGAAATTCTATTTAAACTTGAGAAGAATTATTTTCAAATGT